TCAGTGCTGGTGTCATTTGGGTTATTAAATATTGTTAAATATTTTGGGTATCATTGTGTGGTTTTAAGAAATGACATCTAGCTGTACTCTAGGGAGAAAGAGGAAATGGGCTGCCACCATCACCATTTTTTAAAAAAGGAAAATGGGTCCCAAAGAGGTTTAATGACTTTCTTAGTATCTCATAATCAATAAATTGTAGGACTGGGATTAGAACCCAAATAGGCCTTCTTCAAAGTCACATGATTTTCTATTTATTTTACTGCCTGAATCCATTGCCACATACTAATTTTATTAAGAAAATAGAGACCTGATCCATGAAAATTCATGCACTGGAGCAGGGGTCCCTCAGTCCGGCCTGTTCCCTTTCACAGTCCAGGAGCCCTCAGAGGCAGGAGGTGACCCGGTGGTCAGGGGAAGGCGACGCCGCCATCACACCTCTGCTGATGCCAATGGCGGCAGCACAAGACTTGGCCAACCCTAGTTACCTGAGCCTCAGGGAGCCCTGGGCGGCTGGGGGACTGAGGGGCCTGGGGGACTCCAGAGGCAGGCATGCGGAGCGAGCCGGCCTTGCCGCGCACCTGCCGCCCTGTTGGGGAGGAGGGGCCTGGGCACCACCATCTTGCTGCTGTTGGCTCCGCCATAGTTGAGGGCGTGGGTCAATTAGCATATTCCCTCCTTATTGGCTGTGGGCTCTGCCATCTTTGAGACAGTGTGAGGGTCAATTAGCATATTCCCTCTTTATTAGATAGGATAATTGACATACATCCTTGTGCAAGTTTAAAGTGTTCCACATGATGCTTTGATTTACATATCTTCTGAAATGATTACAATAGGTTTAGTTAACACTAATTATCTCATATAGATATGATAAAAAGAAAAGATTTCTTCTTGTGATGAGAACTCTTAGGATTTACTCTATGAGCATCTTTCCTATATATCATGCAGCAGTGTTAACTATAGTCACAATTCTGTAAAATTCACCTTAGTCCTCACTTCTCTTAAAAATGGAAGTTTGCATCTTTTGGTCACCTTCCTCCAGGTCCTGTTTCTGAGTCTTCACTTGAAGCATCCACTGTAATCAGCCTAGTGCTCCCTTTTACTCCTCTTGGACCACACACATCAGTCATCTCCCACCCTCAGTTTCTGCATCTTTTGGGTCCCTCTTTCTTCCCAGCCCAATAACTTACCCAAGTCTCTTTCACCCTAAGTTTTTCTCTTTCTCTCCCTTCCCACATTAGAATCTACCTGCTGCCACCACCACACACTTGAACTGCTTCAATTAGTCAGATAGAGAGAATCTAAAGTCTTATTAGCTTGAGTCTAAATGCATGAATCTGGTATAGAAAGAAGGAAAAGAAAAAGAAAATTCAAATGTGAAAGTAGAGTCCCCTGGCCTCAGAAATGAATAAAGAAAACTTTCTAAGACTAGAAAAGCCCCTAACATGTGAGAAGGTATGAGAAGAACACAGGAGTCTGGGGGTTTGTAAGCAGAGGACACTCAGCTGTGCTTTCTGGACATGTATCCTGAAAGACAGCAAGATCCCAGAGGGAGATGAATATGGTATTTTTGGCAGTCATGTTCATCAGTAGCCTTAGAGAGACTCCTGCATCCCCAGTTTGATTCAGAAGAAGCAGATACACTAGAAAAAAGAGTGATGTGAGCAGGGGAGTAAGCATTTCTTAGCAGGGGGACCTGGTGAACCAGTGAGGAAGAACCAGACCTTCTTCTCCTACCCACCACCCAAACACCCGGGACTATGTGAGACTCTTGAACTGTGGCATAACTTTGTGTGGGGAGGAGCAGGGTGGGAAACTCTAAGAGGGACTGAGGTTAAGTTTTCTATTATCCCAGCAGGATGGCAACTTGAAATATAAATTAATTTTTTGAAAACAAAGTGTTATTTCCGGGGCACTTGAATTTATGGTGATGATTCATGCCTATGAACTTCTTTGAAAATGATATCCGGAGCTTTTTTTACTTTATAATTAAATTTACAATTTATTTTCCAAAATAAAGGGAATTTAGAAAACTAGAAATAAGAAGTAGGAGAGAATTTGGATCACTTTATAAGAACAATCCATTATATGACAATAGATACTTTCTTAGTGTGCTCAGCTACAACATAAATACTAAAAGAGGAATGATGCTAGAATTAAAGGAGTTGAGCCCAGGAAGTAAAGAAATTCTGAGGATCAGAGCTTTGTTTTGAGTGGTGTAGCAGCCAGTGAGAGAATGAACTTTTGACTTGGAACATTGAGATTGTTTCCTCTCCTCTCCATTTTTCTTGTTCTTCTCATATCATCTTCGCCCTACCCACATTTTGTCCTATTCTGAATAGGAAAGTTAAGATTTCAATAACTTGCAATGTTGCATTTATTGTTGGTTACATTTTATTTATGGTTCTAATTCAGAACATTACTCATTCTTCAAGGAACTCAGATTTCTTTTTGGAAATGTCTCTTCAAAAAACTTTGAAACTTGGGAAAATTCACTCTTGAACATCCCTGGACATAATTCAGAGGCTAATTGAGGGAAAGGCTGCATTTTTGGCTTTAGAGGATGGTTGTAGTTTAGCAATGAGAAGCTAAGAAAATGGGCTTCAGGAAGAGGAAGCACTACATCTTTTTTTAGTGGAGGGAGTCGGTAAACATATCCAATTTGTCTCCATTTTAAAGGAAAGTGTCCTTTGCCTGGATCTCTTTCTTCTGAGTGCTTAGGTGGTGAGGTATGGCCCTGGTGATGGTGATGTTGGGGACCTTGCCTATGGGGTGACAGGGTCAATGGTCATGAAAACCATGGCCATTGGGATGCTGTCCATGGAGATGGTGTCCATGGGGATGGTGTCCATGGGGACAATGTCTATGGAGATGGTGTCCATGAGGATGATGCTCATGAGGACGGTGTCCATGGGAATGGTGCTCACTGGAACTGTGATTATGAGGGGTGCATGTGTGCCATTGGTGCCAAAACGGAGAAGATGACATCTTGAAGGGGGCAGTCATGAAGGAGCTCCTTCTTGAAGTGGTGGTCTGTCTGAGTGATTTTTGACATTAAGAGGAATTGGGCATCCAGGTATATTTGACTTGTGGGGATGGAGGTTATATCTGGATCTACTGTGTGTAAATGGAGGCTTGCCTGCAGAGGAATGCCCATGGCCTACAGAGGGGAGGATGGTACCAAGTCAGAAAGATAATTTCAGAATAAAGGATGGTTCTTTTATATGTAATATGTTATACCACAAACAATTTTTCTTATTATCTTTATTTTTCTCATTTCTATATAAAGTAATAAAATTATATTACAGAATGGTACTCATCCGTAGTTCAACATTTGGAAAACTAGTGCTTTATAATTTAGGCTCCCAACAGAGTTCTGTGACTCTACGTTATAAGCATCTCTTACTCCTAAAAGATGAGCACTTCATCTCTTCACTATCCTTATTCAGATTTAATATTTTTTTAAAAAAATCTGTGCAGCCATGCCCATGGTGATATACCTGCCCCCCTTTTTGGTTTGTCACATGGATGTTTGAATTATTTTTTTCTGATACAAAAAATACTGTGAAGAATATTTGTGTGTAGAACAAAAGTTTCTACACACTGATATTCTCATAAAATATTTTGTATATTATTTTACATATCTTTATATAATAAATTTGATACTAGTTCATTCCCAGGGAAGGAGGTAAGAGGGGTTGGTCAAGAGGGAACCATAACAAAGGGGTCCAAGAAATTATTTGGGGTGATGGATATGTTCATTATCTTAAGTGTGGTGTTGTATTCAGTGGCATATACATATGTTAGAATTACCAAATTCTAACATATTTGATACATATTATCAAATTCTAACATATGTATACTCTAAGTATGTGCTGTTTATTGCATGTCAATTACACCTGAGTAAATTTGCCATTGTTATAAAACAAACAAACGAAGCAGCAGATTTTTGTCTTTCTCTGTCTGGCTTATTTCACTTAGATCGTACCCTCTACATTTTCACAAATGGTAAGATTAGGTTTTTTTACGCTAATATTTTATTATAAATATATAATACATATTCTTTATCTAACTGTTGATAGCCACTTAGGTTGCTTCCATATCTTGCCTATTGTAAATAATGTGGCAATGAATGTAAGGGTGCATGTATCTTTTTGAATTTGTGTACACTTGAAACTAATATTATATTGAATGTTATAGGTTAGTTAAAAATTATAATAATAAAAATCATCTGGCCCAAGGAGGCCAGTGGGGAGAGGGTCAATGCAACTGAATTTGCGTCTGCGTGGTAGGAGCCTAGGCCCTCAGAGTCCAGCTGGACATTAGTGGAAACTCACGCCTCTGCCGACTCTCTCCACTTGGTCCACTCTGAGAGAGGCAAAGTCATCATTCTCCTTTTTGTACATCTCAAGGACTTTGTCTGCTTGTTTTCTGTAGACCTCAGTCTCCTCAAAGAAATCCAAGAGTACAGGGCTGTCTTTAGTATTGGCCAATGCGGAAAAGACTGGAGAAAGAAAATGGTAGTTTTGTGGCTAAACAGCACTGTCAATGCCATGACTTAATACATTTATGCATGGTGGAAACAATAACAATAGCTCCTGTATTACAGACAGGTGAACTGAGCATTGGAGAAGCTAAGGAAGTTCTTCCAGCAAATCAGCTAATCAGCAGCAGAGCTGAATTTAAACCCAGATCCTTGTGGTGCTCAATTTTCAATTGTTACCCTATTCAGATGCCCCAACCCCAGCATTGATAAAGTGTGAATATTTGAATGAACTCTTCCTATCTCTGCCAAGGAGGGAGAGCATCATTAAAATGAAGTTTTGCCCAGAGAGAGAAGATACAGCTCAGTCTTCTTTAAGGCAAACTCCTGAAGGAATTGCTTGGCTGCTGAGTTTTTGTATATTGAATTATGCTGAAATTTGTTATTTTTAAAGGAACTCTGTGATAATTCTCTTGGAAAAAGTAAATAAAAGAACATGGACTTTAGAGTCAACACTGGTGGGGTAGGCTTAAGGTCATCACATTTTGGCTGTTTTTTTCAGGCCAAGTAATTTAACCTCTTTGAACCTCTTTTAACTCTAAAATAGAAAGTCTCATAATCTTCATAGTCTTGTTATGAGATTAAATGAGACTTTGTGTAAACTGTAGTATTAATACACAAGTTTTAGATGTTGAAGTGAACATATTTCTAAGTAATTTGGAAGTGTACTACACAGAGCATCTTATTTAATTCTAACAAAGACCCAAAAAACTTATACTATTATTATCTTTTTTTACACATGAGGAATCCTTAAAGAGGCTAAGTAACTTCCCCTCAAGACCATGAAACTAGTAAATTATGAGACTGGGATTCAAATTCAAGCCAATCTGACCCCAGACAGAGCCCATATTCTCTATAATGATGCTATGCTGCCTTATGTAACTTTCTATTTTAATATATTTAATTTCTTGAGAAGTGTATCAATAACAGGAGGAAACCCTCTTGCAACTTTTTTCAGGGGAGAGAGGAATAATCAAGTCCATGAGCATAGGTAGAGTCCATTTTTGATATGTACATCATAGTATTATATGTAAATATTAATGCCAGTGTGAATCAATGGAGGCTATGCAGGCAGCATGGCACACTGGTGGAAAAGCGTCATTCAGGTACTGAGAGGCACGGCCGCTGCTCATCCCCCTCAACAATTCCTCTTTCAAACCTATATTTTCTTAATCTCTTTCTGTGGGTTAATAACATAGGCACCCAAAACTCTCATGAGAACCACAGATAAAGTGTTTAAACAGATCATGGCCATATCTCAAACATTTTCAAGAAGAAATAAATGCTAAAATTTCTGGGTATGTAAGTGTCTTATTTTCTGGAACTAAAAATCTTAGATCTGTGTTTTTTCATCTTTGGTTCTTCTCCTGTGGCAGATTACCCATGGATCAGATTACCCATGTGCAAAGCAGCACAAGATCAGCCTGGGATCAGATTACCCATGTGCAAAGCAGCACAAGATCCCATTCCTCATGATAATTGCAATTAATCCCTTTTGGCCACTCCTGGTCATGGGACCAGTCTTCATAGGACACAATTACAAGTTCATAGGTTCTAGACCCATAGACTATCAGGGCCAGATAGGACCTTATAGTTTATCTACTCCAACCTCCTCTCTTATTTTACAGCTGAGGAGACGGACATCTAGCAACATTAGGCGATCTGCACAAGGTTATAGCTGGTCATGCTATAACAAGCCCCACTGAGATATCTTGAACTGGGTTTCTAGGTATGGATCTCAAGAGAATATTACTCAAGGTTGACATAATCTTGATGAGTCAAAAGACAGAAACTGGCCTTCTACTTTTGCTATGGCATACAGCTATCCTGAGAAAGACAGAGTAGACAGAAATCAAGAATTATAAAATGAGGAGAATGGTATCATGTTTACTTACGATATCAGGTGGATATCTAGAAATATTTGGCTCACAGTCATCCCAGTGTATCCTGTATTGGACTGGGCAGTTGGATTCTTTCACTTCTAAGACAAAATAGTAGACATCTGTGGATTCCTGAAAAATTCCAAGAAAGCAACAGTGTAACATGTCGGAGACCAGTATGTTTTCATTAGAAACAGTCTCTTGATTTCTTAAACAGAATTTCTATTCCTTTCCAAATAATTGCAGATGTCTACTTTTGTGTCATTTGATCTACTTACTTGAAGAAGTAGCTTGAAAATATACTTCCAAATGTTATTGTTGATTGGTCATGATGTTGCTTCTGTTCATGAGCTTTAAAAAACAATCACTAAATAGCACCATTTGTTTGGGTGGAGATGTTGAAGGTGTAAACCTAGAAATTATAAGTGATAACAACCACATCACAAGCTCCAATCTGTATGCACAATTGTGTCCTCTCACCCAGCTCTTTCCTGAACTTGGACTTCTTGCCTTAATTTCAACTTGCCCAAACCTAAAATCACCTCTTCTCTTACAAAGCAGCTACCTCTCTCAATTTATCTTTCCTTTTGTCAATGACACCATTAGTTATTTCTTGCCTTAGTCTTTGCCTGAAAAAAATGTGACATCAACTTTGATTCCTTTCTTTGCTTTTGCTATACAGTCACAAGGCCTTGAATGGTATTTCTTTGAAAAGTCTCATGTCTTTTCTTCCTTCTCATTGCCATAAATGTGGGTGTTTCTGTTCATGAGCTTTAAAAAACAATCACTAAATAGCACCATTTGTTTGGGTGGAGATGTTGAAGGTGTAAACCTAGAAATTATAAGTGATAACAACCACATCACAAGCTCCAATCTGTATGCACAATTGTGTCCTCTCACCCAGCTCTTTCCTGAACTTGGACTTCTTGCCTTAATTTCAACTTGCCCAAACCTAAAATCACCTCTTCTCTTACAAAGCAGCTACCTCTCTCAATTTATCTTTCCTTTTGTCAATGACACCATTAGTTATTTCTTGCCTTAGTCTTTGCCTGAAAAAAATGTGACATCAACTTTGATTCCTTTCTTTGCTTTTGCTATACAGTCACAAGGCCTTGAATGGTATTTCTTTGAAAAGTCTCATGTCTTTTCTTCCTTCTCATTGCCATAAATCCCACCGCCTTTGTCTGTCTTCATTTCCTCATTCCTGAACATGTCATATAGCTTTCTAGTTCAAGTCCATGCCACTTGCATCCATCTCCTCAGGTACACTGTGCTCCCTGCCCCTATTCAGAGGTAGCCCTGGGCTAATTCATCCTGTGTCCTATAATGTGGCAGCAATCTTAGACTGGCACTATTAGTCACTAAGTTGCTGGTTGAATCTCAGGTCCCTGCACTCATTTTCTGCAACCTGTAGAGACTCCACATCTAATACTCTAACAAACATCAAGTTATCTGCTTGTCCTCTGTGATGCTCTATTGTCTGACCTCCCTGATTTTAGGTGGTTCCTCCAAAGGGTAGGTTATTTTGGGGAGTGGGGAAGAGAAGCCTCCCTCCTCATCTCTAAGAATCCCTCAAATCTATTTCAAATAAGTATATAATGTATGTCAGCGATTTTCAATATTTTCATCTCATGGCACATATAAACTAATTACTAAAATTCTGGTGCAAACACACACAAATATATTTTTTTTGCCGATCTGACAAAAAAAACCCAACAACAACAAAGGTGTAATTTTGATTAATTTACATTGGATGGCTTTGGTGTGTTGTATGTTGTCTGTTGTCCTTTTTTCACTTGACAATCTAAGTGACAAGAGGTCAGTGCCCCTGACTAAATAGTCAGGTATTGCATGTTTTAAAAATTCTTGTGGCACACTGGTTGAAAATTGCTGATCAAAGTGAAGAGAGTAGGCTTGCTTTGCATCAGGATAAGCCTACATTCTTTCTTCCACCCTGCTTGCTGTGCAAATCTCACATAAAACTTCCAGAATTCCCCTGCTTGTGTCTAATTTCTCCCTAACACTCTCCTTCCTGATTTCTTACCCACATAGAGGTGGTATTACTGGAAGTTTCCTGGAATGCCTTTAACTCAGACCAACTTCCTGTTCAAGTCCTGCTTCATTTGGATTTCCCAAATGAAGCATTCTCTCATTCAATGGTAATAGATCTTTCATTAGATTGTCCAGCATCAATAATACTCACTCGGTCACTTAAATATATCCTACTTTACACAGGGTGTGTATGTGTGTGTGTGTGTGTGTGTGTGTATGTGTGTGTGAATGTGTGAGCTGATTCTTATTTCCTTAAGAGAAAGGCTTATAGTTCATTCTAATTTTTCTCTTAAAGCACTTAGCTTTTGATTGGACTCAATGTCAGTGCTTATAAGTATTCATTGATTGATTCATAGTTAAGGACATACTAATAACAGATGTTAGTTTGGAAAAAAAAAGAACAATCTAGAGTAGCAGCAGAAACCAAACAGAAAATCCTGACCAAGGCCATTCCATTATGTAAAGCAATAAGCTTAGTGGCTAGAGTCAACCTTGCCCCAGGTGCATGGTTTCCCAACTTAGCTCTGCCATTCGCAATTCCTTACCGCTCTGTCCAAGTGGGTATCAGTGACCCACAGCAACTGAAAAAGGAGGTCATTGGATCGTCCTTTATTGATCAGGTCTAGAGCATTCCCAGCCAGGGACACAGTAGCATTGCAGCCTATGTGATTCACAGCATAGGAATATCTAAGTGTGATCCAAAGGATGGAAAGCTGAACTGCAGTGAATGTCTTCATTTTGTTAAAATGGGAAAATCATCCCTTGCTATGGTATACCACAGCAGAGAATTGTATAGAAACTTTTTAAACACACACTCACACACACAATATTGCCAAATCAGTCTTTATACATTTTTGTTGTGTAAACTGAATGTTCCCTGCCGCAATCTTTTGCAGTGGGGGTTCATGATCTGAAGAAGAGACTGATGCACCAATGAAAATACTATATAAGATATATGAATTTAGAAAACATGGGGGGCCAGGTAGAGACCTCTCTCTTGGAGAGGCACACTGAAACCTGGCCTTATCCATTTATTCTTCAATTTTAGATACACATCTTGCCCTCAGTAAAGCACTGCAAACAGTAGCAGACAGACTGTCTCAAAGGGCAGTAAAGTTCAGTAAATATCAGTAAGGTCCAGTTAAACATTCACTTTGAGGCTATTAGGTCAGGAAAGTGTTTTGAGCCACCGCTATGTCAACACCACCCTGTTAATGCCCAATATCCATTGGCCTTCCACATTCCTTGACGCACTTTTATGACAGTATTGTGAAAGCAGTTGTCCCCAGCATCTCTCCCATTTTGTTTTCCTAATAAATATTGAAAAGTGTATGCCTTCCGTAGTGCTTGAGTCCTTTTAAGACTCTTCATTCTGCATCTGCAGGCTAGAAACAAACATAATTAAAAAAATGAGACAGACAATAGTGGTTATGCTAAGAGGCAAATGTAAGGAGATCCAATGAAAAGGATTGAGTTCTTTTATGTCCTTTTTAAATTGCTGCCAAGCATCTAAGGAACTAGGTTGTAGTCAGCTTCTTTCTGGGTCATCAATTCTTTCTGGGTCCCCTTCTCAATCACTGTCCCCTGTGACATGACAGCAATGATATTGGAGTCCCGGATGGTGGGCAAACGGTGGGCAATGACAATACAGGTTCGACCTTCTCTGGCTTTGTCCTGGGCAACCTGCACCATCACACAACTGATGATTGCTAGCATGACAAGGCTTCTTTACCATCCCTCAGGTCATTTTTGGACTTTCTCCTCTGTCTCTTTATCCTATTCCTTGTCTTTAGCTTGTTGCTCTCAGCTACTGCTATCTATGACTGGAGTAGTCAATTGTCTGCAGCCACAGGTACAGGATGAGACTCCAGATGCAAGGTCCTCATTAGTCTGGTGAGTTCCTCTCTTGAATCCATGGTGAAGTTTAACATTCCTTGCAGGAACTTAAATGGGCTTGAAGGAGTTTTCTGAAAATACATAAGAATATCCTTGACCAAAGGTTAACAAAGAGACCCTTCCATAAACCAGACCATTTTCCTTTGGCTTATTCTGAAACCAGTGTAATACAATAGGTGTCTTGCCATCAGTGTTACAAGTAAAAATATTTAAAGTACTTAAGGCTTTGTGTAGTCTACTTACAGAATATTTCACCACTATTCCCCCTTTTATTTTTCAAGTTGGTATTTTATCCACTGATGTTGGCCTTCTATAATTGCCTGTCCTTGGGAATTGTATGGAATTCCTGTAATGTGTTGAATTTTCTATTTTTTACAAAATTGCTGGAAATGACAGCTTGTGTATGCAGGTCCATTATCAGTTTTAATAATTTTTGTAATTCCCATCATGGCAAAAGCAGCTAGGCAATGATTAATAACCTGTTTTCCATTTCTCCTGTAGATGCAGTGGCCCTTAGGACCTTTGAAAAAGTGTCTACAGAGACATGCAATGCCCCAAAGCGTTCAAATGGACTATAGTGTGTTACATGCATTGCCAGATATGGTCCCTTATCAATCCTCGAGGGTTAATTCCTGTATTAGGCCCTTGTGGAAGATGTAACATGCAAGTGGGACATTCCTTGATCATCTTTTTTGCCTGTGGTGGAGTGATTAAGAATTGTTTAGACAACATTTTGGCAGGCTGATGTAAAAGCTGATGAGATTCTGTGGCCTGTTTAAATAAAGCAACCAATTGACTGGCATATGAATTTCCTTTTGTTAAAGGACCAGGCAAGATGGTATGAGCCCCTGATGTGAGTAATATAAAAGGGGTATTGTTTTTGCTGTACAATTTGCTGTACCTGTTTAAATAGTATAAATAGACTTTGGTCACTGAGCCATCTTAATTGAGCAGTTGCAATTCTGTTTATCAGACCAGTAGTAGAGGCAGAATCAGAAATAATATTAAGAGGCTCTTGGAAATACTGCAATGCAGCCTTGATAGCTTCTAATTCAATTGTTTGCACAGAAGTATGACTGGTCTGAAAGACTCAGTCTGAATTCATTGCATGATAAGCAACTTTACCATTAGATAAACCATCAGTATCAACAGTTAATGCTCCAGTAGTTTCCTACCTAGTATTTTCTTTTAGTATAAATAATACAGGTGTAATATAAAAATTGTAGTAACTTGTTTTTTATTAGGTGACAACCAAGTTCCCCTGAATATTCACTTATTTAAATTTGCTAATTCAAATTAGTCTGGAATAACATTTCTAGTTGCTTCCCCATTAGAGGAAGATAGATGCATTGGAGTTCTTCTCCTCTAAGCTGCCTGCAGTGCTTTCTGAGTTGAGGTATTAATTGAGCCGTGAGTTCTATATATGTAACCACAGTTTAGAGGAATGATGCCGTAGGTGGACCCACTCAATAATAGTAGGAGAGTTTATATTTTGGAAGATGACTCCAGTGGGACTATTTGCAGTAGGATTAGTCTGTCCTAATAAAGGCAATCCAGGCTGTACCCGGGCTACTTGGGCTGAGGAGATTGCCTGCTCATTCTTAGTAACTCCTTCCTAGCTTCAACAGTTAATGTTTGGGAAATCAAAGATTTGAGTCATCCGAAAGTGTGTTGAATACATTTGTCATTTTTCCTATGGATATTTTTAGATAAGGCCTTAATTAATGTTCTCTAATAATTTTTCAAAGTCATTTAAGGTTTTGTATTTCTATTTTTTTAAGGCCTCATATATTGGTTTTTAATTATAGTTCCTACATATTTGGAGGACATTTCCCTCTGTATTTCCTCCCAGAGCAATATCTAAGTCACAGTTAGGGATTTTCTTTTCTAATTGGATAAGCATTGCTAAAGTCTGCTTTTCCTGTGGGCTTAATATAAATCACTCTATTAAAGACTTTTAATTTCTTTGAAACAGAACAACCACCTTTGTTGCCCTTTAGAAAAACAGTTTGGAGAGACATTCTGGCCAATACTGCAATGCATACATTTCAAGTAAAAGTAACTTTCTTTTTACTTATGGTGTCTCATTAATGGTGAGATTTAATGCTTGCATAATAATTTTTAGTTTACTCTGTAAATAGTCGCAGAAGAAATTTAAAAATTTCTCTTTTTTATTAAGGTTAACTTTACTTTCAAACAGCATCCTTTGTGGCTAGTGCTTATTTGCATACAGATGCAAATTTTACTTCCCTGAGATTTGATGACCCTTTAACAACTTTTGCAAATAGTTAACTTTATAACTTAGTTCTTTATTTAAATATTTCTTTTTTCCTTCTCATTACATACACAGCCTTCACAAATTTCACACTTTCAAATTAGCCTTCAAACTTTCTTTCTATGTCCTTCAAAAATGCATAACCATGACTTAGATCTTCCCTTAAGTATTTCTACTGTAATTTTTTTCTGTTATACCATCAGCTACTTGTATAGAACTTTTTCTTCTTTTTCTTTTAAAATGTATGTCCTGCCTTCTACTATTAAAGCCACACAATATTTAAACCTTAATTTTCTAATTATAATTAAAAATAAACAGCTAGCATTTCTTAGAATGTCATTTATGAACATTCTAACCTTTAAGAAATATATTTTTAGATTTTCTGTTGTAAAACGTAAAACCAGGTGAACTTACGACATGTTGGAATACTTAGATATTTATTTTTTAATCCAGCAATGTTTTAAAGTCTTTACATTATCAAGAACTTTGGAAAATTATGTATAGGCATATGAGCCTGGAGAAAAGGCAGGGGAAGGAGGAAACATGCCTTTAGCCTTTTGAGTTTAAATTGCTACATTCCTACTTAGAGATAACATCTAAAGTTATTGATGCAACTTCTTCGCATTTACAGGGAGAAGGGCAACTGTCCCTTTCCTCTAGCAGAGCATAGAGTCAGTCTCCTCTTGAGTGGCTGGACTTACCTTATTAATATATTTATAATTATTACTGAAAAGCTTTATTCCAAATCCTTCATTTTAGGTACATCTATTTATTTATGTTTTAACAACTTTGAGATTTTAAAGCAAATTATTATTATCCATGGCATTTTTTTTTGGCAAATTCTATAACAGAGATAACTAACTGGCTTTCAGTGGCTTTAATGTTAAAGTATTATTTTATTTATTTTATTTTATTTTATTATTTTACTAGAGGTCTGGTGCACGAAATTCGTGCATGGGCAGGCAGGGAGAGTCTGTCCCTCAGCCCAGCCTGCACCATCTCCAGTCTGGGACCCCTTGAGGGATGTGCAATTGCCCATTTAGG